ACTTTTCGGAACATACATGAGTGTAACCATGAACAATAAATGATCAATTGAAAATTCAGTGTGAATGTTTCATCAGTGAGATCAGTATTTTGTTTTTTGAAAAAAAAGGAGTTATGAAGAGCTGTATAAAGAGACAAAAATACAAAGACGGGTGGCTTTTAAAAGAAAGAGAGACAGGCCAGGCATGATGGCTCATGGGTATAATCCCAGTGCTTTCAGAGGCTAAAGCAGGAGGATCACTTGAGATCAGGAGTTCCAGATGAACCTGGGTAAGATAGTGAGACCCTGTTCTACAAAAAGATTAGAAATTAGCCGGGCATGGTGACATGCACTTGTAGTCCTAGCTACGGGAGTCTGAGGCAGGAGGACCCCTTGAGACCAGCAGTTGAGGTTACAGTGAGCTATGATCGCACCACGGCACTCCAGCCTGAACGACAGGGCGAGACCTTGTCTTAAAACAAAAAAGAGAAAAGAAAAGAAAAACAGAAAGAAACAAATAGCATTTTGAAGATGATCTGAGATTCATTAAAGTATCCTCCCCTTGATTATAAAAAGCCACCACTAATTCTGGTTTCTAAGAGAGTCATCACAATTGTCATAAACTTCTTTTGTTTAGAGAAAGATATTTCTGATTTCTAAAATATCTTACAACAAACATATTTAAAGGAAAACTGAAAATACTCTTAAGCTTCAGTTGAAAATAATTTTATGAGAAACAGCTACATTTCAACTAAGACGGAATGGAAAATTAAAGGCATTTCAAAACTAGAGTCACTAGAGCTTGTTTCTACTGGGAATTAATTTAAAAAATAATTTTTCAAAAAAACACAATTAACAGCACTTAGAGATTGGACTTTTACTGAGCTTTATATTAAAAGTATACAGATCAGGTTCAGAATAAGAAAAAACCAGTCCTCACTTGAAACTGATTACCATATATCTGAATTCCAACATTATTATAGAAAGATAAATTTTTTTTGATGCGATACACAACTTTATTCTTCAATAGGGAAATCAAATAGTCACTGAATAAGAACTTCCTGTGAAGTCAGAGAGACCAATTAGAATTCCTGTGTTCTCTAGTATCAGGAAAGTTACTTCAACTCTATTAGTGTCAGTATCTTCATTTAAAAAACATTGGATCTCAAAGGGATTTTTAAGAAGTAATTAAGAACTTAAAGGCAAGAAAAGTGCTTAGCAATGTGAAATATAGTAAGTAACAATCAATGCTAGCATAGCATTCTAAGCCCTTCCATACTTATCCAAGATTGACAGCCTTGTCAAGGTTGATGTTTTACTTTTTCATTTCATTTTATTACCAATATCAACATTTATAATACAATCTTGAGTAAAGACCTGTATTTTAATGAGAATTTAAGTATATTATCAAGGTAGTTCACCTTCCCATTTAGCCCGAGCATTTTAACATATTTCATCAAAGTCTTGACTTTAAAGTCTATGATCTTTCAATAGTTATGTACCTATTTATCTAGGACAAATAGTTCACAAATAGGAAAAAAAGAATGATCACTTCATTTACATTTACTGTGCTGCCAAGAGGATGAGCAGACTAAGGAAAAAAGTGCAGGCAGCAATTACTTTGTCCTTTTTCATTACACCATTAAATAATTTATAATTTAAAATTTACATTAGTTTTTTTCACTTGTAACTTACTGTCTTCCTCCAATGTGTTCTTAAAAAAGAGAACATTTGTGATAGGTATTTGCATGTGTTAATGGCATGATTTGTATGGAGTATAAAAGGGGAAACAATCCAGAGCAGATGCGACTAAATGAAATCAATCCTATTAAGGATTAATCCTGTCCCCTTATGAAGGTTTTCTTATTTTTCATAGCTTCAAAATACTGCCATGTTAAACACTGAAGCTTCCAGAAGTTTCAAAGATGGAAAACATAAATGATGTAAGACATTTCTGTTTAACAGTTAACATTATTGAATTCATAAAATCATCTAATTACTTACAAACTGGATAGAATGAATAAAATGTCACAGCTGAATAAAAATGACAAATGACTTGCAAATCCACCTTTATGAATGCTTAAACAGGTTTAAATACATTTGGAATTACGTCGAGAATGAGAACCAGTTTCTTTCAAACTTGCTAAATGAGAGAAAATCAAAAAGGTACGTAAAGCTTTCTCAAACAAGATAATCCTCCCTTAATATTATTCGCTCCACATACTAGCTTTTGGAGATAATCAATTACTTTAGGTCATGAAGCCAAGACACCTTCCACAGCATATGAAAAACCAGCTGCCATACTAAATTCTAGTCCAGTAAGTAATGGGTGTAAGGTAAACGGATTGCAGTGGTCAACTCATGAAATAACCAGCAATAAACACAACTTACAATGAAGAAGTTTTTCCAAAGAGAGAAGAAAAATATCATTTCAGTACCTTGTCTTCCCTCATCATTGGTAAACAATCCAGCATCAGTGCTGGAATCATTGTAATAACGAAAAAGAAAGAAACAGATCAAAGAACAATTGATCTTTCAGTCATAAAAAAATTTTCTTTTATGACTGCGCCCGGCCTCAGTCATAAAATTTTAAAGAGGACATGGCAGCTCAGAGATGGAACTTAAGCCTGACAAAGATCTGAAAGAAAATAAGATGATTCAGGCCGGGCGCGGTGGCTCACGCCTGTAATCCCAGCACTTAGGGAGGCCGAGGCGGGTGGATCACGAGCTCAAGAGATCGAGACCATCCTGGTCAAAATGTGAAACCCCGTCTCTACTAAAAATACAAAAATTAGCTGGGCCCGGTGGCGCGTGCCTGTAATCCCAGCTACTCGGGAAGCTGAGGCAGGAGAATTGCTTGAACCCAGGAGGTTGAGGTTGCGGTGAGCCGAGATCGCGCCATTGCACTCCAGCCTGGGTAACAAGAGCGAAACTCCGCCTCAAAAAAAAAAAAAAAAGAAAAGAAAGAAAGAAAATAAGATGATTCTTTTTAATCAAACTGCAAATATCCTGTTTCCATTAACTACAGAGCATATTATTTTTGGCACAGAAAACCACAGGAATCTAATGGGACCCTGAGAGTAAGCCAGATGTGACTGCAACGAGGTACTTACACAATTGATGCATTTTATTACGTGCTTTCATCAAATGCTCACTGCTCCTTTCTTATGCCATGCAATTCAGCTTGAGCCTGGAACACCACTGCTCAATAAAATGGGAAAGTTTCAATCAAATGCAGGCTAAGCCTTTCTTCAGCACATGAAATACAAGGGACTAGGATGAGATTACTTTCCATAACCACATTTGCAAATATTCTGAAAAAGACATTACTTAAGAATTCACAACAGCTCTATTAGTTCGCAAAGAAGAAAAAGTTTAAAACAATGATAATCCACTATATCGAAGTTAAGGTCACTTTTAAGCAAAAAAAAAAAAATATTACAAATATTAAGGAAGGAGTGTTCAAAAATAACACAGGTTGTCACTGCTTCCACAGAAGGCCCAGAGTCAAATTTAACATACAAATAAAAGAAACAGCAGATATTTCAATGACATAAACAAACTGCTACTATTAGTTCTAACAGAAGTAATGCTTATATAATTGTCTACTTTAAAATACCAGGAGAACAAGGTCGTATAATGAGAGGTTTAGCTTTTTAAAAAAATTGAGTGATGTTCTTTGAAAATTCTCATTATTTCATTTTTATTGTAATTCTTAATTTCAACCAATCAGGAAATCATCCTTTTTTTTAATTAAAATACTTATTCCATTAATATGCAGAACTACATACCTTATTTTTTAAAAAGGTATCCTAACTTGTTTTAAAGTATCTAAATTGAGAAGTTTAGGATTAAAATTCTAGATAAACTAAATCCACATACATTTTCTGAATATAATTTTTGTTCCATTTTTTAAACCTAAATATTAATGAAGAATAAAGGAATTTGTTAAGAGGCACATTTTTATAATGAGTTCTGAATTTATACCTCTTTCTAGCTTTCTTCCAAATTAGCTGCATGTATGAAGCTCCCTATGTTGAAAAAAATATTTTCTAAGAGCATCACAACCAAATTTCTTATTTACAAATGTATGTGCTCTTCTCTGCACCATAGTGTGAGATTATTAAAATCACCTCACAATCTTATCTTGCTGACATTTTGCTGTCTAAACTATTACTGATACTTTCCTTTTTCCTGTGTGCCCCCATTAATAAAACTCAAATGAAGGGCCTCATATGCCTCAGGTCACATTTCCTTTTCTGAAACCCTTGAGGCAAATGTATTTAAAATTCTGAATTATTCAAATTTTAGCAAGGTATATTCTAAACTGCCTCAGAGGAGTCTGGGATAGTACTCCATTAACAATATTAATATATTTTTTCAATTAAATGAAAGAATAACCACTTTAAGTGCAAGTCAAATTAAATCTGGCCACAAATGAATTTGTTTTCATAGCTTTTCAGAGTTCAGATTTGCAGACAAAGCACTATGAATTGATGTGCTATTTTTTTATGGACCTCGATCTCCTAATCTGAATTCAGATTTACTCTTCTCTAATCTATTCTACATATACCCAATTTCATCTTTTCAAAATAAAACAAGTTGACTAAAAATAATGTGATATACTGATATGAAAAAAGGACATTAAAAGCAAAGGAAATTCTAATAAACTATGAACCTTACTTACAAATGTATCAATTTTTGTTTCATTAACTGTGAAAGATGAACTATAGTAATATAGGATATTAACAATAGGGGAGAGTGGATTTGGGGTATACGGAAATGTGATATACATGAACTCTCTGAACTATCTTTACCACTTTTCTGTAAATTTACATCTATTCCAAAGAAAGTAGTGATAAAGTATGCACACACACATACACACACATGTACCTTATAGGACAGTCTTCTATTTAAAAATCTAAAATTACTTCCTCAGCACTTGCTGAATTAAATTTAGATTTCAAGACTTTCTATGGACAGGCCTCCATCTAAATTCTTCTCATTCCCATCTTTGGTCCTTTGTTTATGTTCTTTTCCCAGTGGTATGCCTATCTCTACTCTCTTCCCTCTTCACCTGCCCTGTCTCTTAAACATATAAGGAAATCAGAATAACCCTCTCCTGCAGTTCTTAGCCCTTAATGATCCTCGTCCCACTTTGAGGTACTCTGGCATATATGTATACAACATGTTTCTGTATTTACATTTCACCTCATTGATATCTAGCAAGTTGCTCCATGTACATTATGTACGTGTTTCTATGTACAATAAATCTGAAAAAACCTTCAATAGAAGCAAGGCTTTTTATTTTCAGCAGCTGACAGTCGTTATACCCTTTCCTTGGAGATCCACCTTTTTGGAGTGAATTTTATAACACCACTGTGTTTGGATAAGAATATACTCCATACATGCTGGATGAACAAATATATGTACACTAATACCAATCACTTACCCCGATTTGTTCAATTCCTATATTTTCAGTAGAGTCCTCTTTCTCATTCCTCCTCCCAAATACAGTCAGTCAACTTCCCATTGATTTGAATTATTAAAATTGGTCTCAAATTCTTATTTCCCTCTGCTATCATAGTCATAATTAATCTCCCACTTAAGCACCAACTGGAGGTCAAAGGTAAACAAAATACAGCTGTAAAGATCACACTATCTAGGTAAAATGTAAATCAACTTGAGTTTCTTCACTCTTAAAAATTCTTCACTGATCCCATTGACTATGATAAAATCCAAACTATTTGCCATAGCACATAGACCTTTGAAAAATGCTTTTTGCTGTAATTCTGATCGCATTTTATTTCTTCCCCAAACAGACCACTTTCATTTCACAATTCATGCCTTTGCACAAGCTGTTCATTCCCTACCAATGAATGCCATTTCCCTCTCTTGACTCCTTCAATTCCTGAACAAGACTTAGTGCTTGCTTTAAAGCAAAGCTCCTCTAGGAAGTCTTCCCTCACTAGTACTTTCCATTCAGCACATTTCATTTTCATTATTTGCTTGTCTGGCTATTCCACACTATGCAGCTCTTGAGGACAGAGCCTCCATTATTACTCCAGGCCTTCCAAGGTGCTGGGATTACAGGCATGAGCCACCTTACCCGGCCTCAAATACTTTTTACCATAAAAAGAAATGAAAAATGGGAGTTTGATCTAATTTTCATTACCAGTTACATGTAATGTAAAAAAGCAGATAAAGCAGAAAATAAAAAAAGGAGGGGGAGTAGAGGCTTGCAAAATCAACTCAAAAAGCAGGTAATCTAATTGTGAATAATCCAGAATTGAGTATATTATATCTGTTGCCATACACTCTCCCTCCTGATAATTGAACCAGACAATCACTTTCAAGAAAGGTTAAGTGGTCCTAAGTAATAAAACAAATAATACTTATTTTCATATAAAAACGGCAATTTTCTTGCCAGAAAGACACATACCATGTCTTTTCAAAGCCTTCTGGAAACTTTCTTTTCTTTCTTTTTTTTTTTTTTTTTTGAGATGAAGTCTTGCTCTGTTGCAATGGCACGATCTTGGCTCACTTCAACTCCGCCTCCCAGGTTCAAGTGATTCTCCTGTCTCAGCCTCCCCAGTAGCTGGGACTACAGGTGCACACCACCACGCCTGGCTAATTTTTGTATTTTAGTAGAGATGGAGTTTCACCATATTGGTTAGGCTGGTCTCAAACTCCTGACCTCAGGTGATCCACTCACCTCAGCCTACCAAAGTGCTGGGATTAAAGGTGTGAGCCACCACACTCAGCCAAATTTTTTTAATGTAAGTAATTTTTACTTCTTTAGAAAAATTATATAACTAGCAAACCATGTCTAATATAAGGATAATTCCATAAACTTTTACCAGGTCCCACTCACATTTACAAACAAACAAACAAACAAACAGAAAACACAAACAAACACAAAATTAAAAAAAAAAAAAGATTGATAGCTCACCACAATCCACATGATTACAATGATCCCAGCCCTTGGGAAGCCAAAGCAGGTGGATCACTTGAGGTCAGGAGTTTGAGGTCAGCCTGGCCAACATGGTAAACCCCATATCTACTAAAACTACAAAAAGATTAGCCAGGCGTGGTGGTGCACACTTGTAATTTCAGCTACAAAGGAGGCTGAAGCAGAAGAATCAATTGAACTCAGGAGTTGAGGTTGCAGTGAGCTGAATCACACCACTGCACTCCAGCCTGGGAAACAGAGTGAGTCTCCGTCTCAAAAAAAAATAAAAAAGATCCCAGCCTTACAAATTAAAAATCAAATACTCTTTCCCGCAGACCAGACCATATTTACAGACTGTTTTTTTCTGGTTCATAGTTCAGCATTTGGTTTTGCAGCCCACGCCTAAAAGGATAAAGTGTTAATGCATTCTAATTTCTTGCAAGTAGCATCACTTTATCACTTCTGTATAAAAGAAAAATGATCACTTACCTTTTGATGCTTTCAAGACAGTACTTAACAATTATCACTGTAGTATACCTGCTTCCTAGGACAGATTAGACTAACTACCACAGGATCACTGTTTTTCCATTTTTCTAATGACAAAACAGGTTTTTGTAGACTATAAATTGGGTTTTACAATTCGTAAGTGATAAGAATTCCTAGCAAGCTACAGATTTTTAATAATATCAAGCCACATACATGTTGAAGTGGTATAAACTTTTGATTCTCAAGAATCAGAATAGACTAATGAATTGTGACACTCTAAAAAGCACCAAAAACGAAAGCTCTATAATTAAACATATAAATAATTATATATCCAATTCGGAGTTACAAACGTGCTGTTATTCAAAAGCACATTTTTTCCCCCTGAAAATCCATTTCCTTTTCTCTTTGTAGCTGAAAAGTCATTATAATACAATCAAAAGACTTTGCGTAAATCAAATAAGCAATTTTGCTTTATGCTAATCATCATAAATTATAAGGAAATATAACCATAGTTAAACAGTAATATCACTATCATTATTTTAATTTATAATTATTTTTAAATAAAATTAATTAAATATAAAACATTCAACCACAAACACTGGAGATAAATATTTTTATATTTAGAGAATATAAAAGTCACCTTTCACTCATGAGCTCATCTGAAACTTTTTGCTCTTCACATTCCATTTTGTCCTTATTGGCCTGGTTCGTTTCCTCACTTTCTAAAACTACTCCTTCATCTTGGATTTTTGGTCCTTGTTTGATTATTTTCAACTTCCTCTTTTTGACTTTGTTCTTGGTAAATTCTTGATACTGGTAAGCTCTATCACTGTCCATGTCCTGATCTCTACAGCCTTCAGGTGGCTGGGTCATTGTCCGTTTGTTAGAGATGTCCTGTGGGAGACTGATTGCCATGCGTTTTACCTTTCTCCTCCTGCGCAGAGTTCTGTTCCCAACATTGTCCACAGCAAAATCAGACTCGTGCCATAAAGGTCTTTTCCCGGCGGGGTGCGGTGGTTCAAGCCTGTAATCCCAGCACTTTGGGAAGCCGAGGCGCGTGGATCATGAGGTCAAGAGATTAAGACCATCCTGGTCAACATGGTGAAACCCTGTATCTACCAAAAATACAAAAAATTAGCTGGGCATGGTGGTGCATGCCTGTAATCCCAGCTACTCGGGAGGCTGAGGCAGGAGAATTGCCTGAACCCAGGAGGCGGAGGTTGCAGTGAGCCAAGATCGCGCCATTGCACTCCAGCCTGGGTAGCAAGAGCAAAACTCTGTCTAAAAAAAAAAAAAAAAAAAAAAAAGGTCTTTTTCCTCTACATTATTATTTAGGTTTGATGATGGCCTGTGCTTTGTCACTAACATCTGGTCATCAGAGTCACTGTGATCTTTTTTATTATTATTGTGATTCTCTCTATAGTCCTTGCTTGGTTCTTTTTTTTTGAGACGGAGTTTCGCTCTTGTTACCCAGGCTGGAGTGCAATGGTGCGATCTCGGCTCACCGCAACCTCCGCCTCCTGGGTTCAGGCAATTCTCCTGCCTCAGCCTCCCGAGTAGCTGGGATTACAGGCACGTGCCACCATGCCCAGCTACTTTTTTGTATGTTTAGTAGAGACGGGGTTTCACCATTTTGACAGGGATGGTCTCGATCTCTTGACCTTGAGATCCACCCGCCTCGGCCTCCCAAAGTGCTGGGATTACAGGCTTGAGCCACCGCGCCCGGCCGCTTGGTTCTTCTAAACTAGAATCAGAGCCTTCACTTAAGCAGTGACCAGTCTCCCATGGGTGATGCACGTATTATGACCTCCGTTTTCTCCCTCTCTTTTTCCTTGCCTGGCCTTTCAGAGGGCAAGATATACTTCGAGAATGGTCTCCTGTTTCAGCAAATCCACCTCCAGCTTGCTCTGAGCTCTCTTCCAATGCTGAGACAAGGTCGTGAACCAGTTCCTCCATGGTTCTGCTGAAATGCCTTCATTTATTAGAGAAAGAAAAAAGAAAATAGTCAATCTTAACCATAGTAACCTCGTTTTCTACAACAGACAATTCATTCTCAGTTTGGTAAAAATTAATAATGATTGGCCGGGCGCGGTGGCTCAAGCCTGGAATCCCAGCACTTTGGGAGGCCGAGGCGGGTGGACCGCGAGGTCAATAGATCGAGACCATTCTGGTCAAAATGGCGAAACCCTGTCTCTACTAAAAATATAAAAATAAAATTAGCTGGGCATGGTGGTGCGTGCCTGTAATCCCAGCTACTCGGGAGGCTGAGGCAGGAGAATTGCCTGAACCCAGGAGGCGGAGGTTGCGGTGAGCCGAGATCGTGCCATTGCACTCCAGCCTGGGTAACAAGAGCGAAACTCTCAAAAAAAAAAAAAAAAAAATTAATAATGATTATAAAATGTTTCAAAGCTAATTTTCCTATCCAAGATATTACAGTTTTAAGTATTGATTCATTGTAGGCCTCTTCTTATATAAGTTCTTTTATTAAAACATAAGAATTACTTCCAAGATAGAATAAGCTTATGAGCAATGAAGGATCCCAGTATTTTTATATTTTTACTGCATAATTATGGAAAAGTTCTGTTTAAATCCCTATCCACTGGTCCGTCCTATCCCTTTTCTAGAGCCAGTTTACCTACAGCAGATACAGAAAGAACTTTCTCAGTACCCTCTTAGCCCACTAATCTCTATGTAAAAAAAAGAAACGTGAAATCTTTTATTCACCACGCTTACCAGTCACTGCCATCATATGAGGCAGTCAGAAAGACGATGGCTAGTTTCAGGATTAGTAATATATGTGAAAAGAAAGTTTAACCAACACCATGCATTTATTTAGGCCACACTAATCTCTTAAAGCAGTGAAGCAGAAACTACATTCACATTCAAAGTGGAGCCTCACTGGTATAAAAGGGCCCATCGTTACTTCATTCTGAAGCAATCTCTTAGACTTTCCTTTTTAAAAAGCTTTAAACTATATTACCAGTAAGAATATCATCCAGTAGTCAGCAAGGATAAGCATCAGCATTCTTTGGGAATTTTTATAAATTATACTTGTCCTTTTAAAACCCAATTCCCAAAGATTTTAAATTAGTCGGTGTGACATACAGCCAAGGTATCTGGTTTTATTTTTTTAATCATCACAGGTAATTCAGATATGCACCTTTCTTATGAAGGCCACAGGCAATCATTTCTCAAATTGAGATCTAGAGGCACCTAGGGATTGAAACATTCTCAACAGTCATGCAGAGCTTCAGGAGTCCGTACACTTTTCATGCAAAGGGCCTGACAGTAAATATTCGAGGCTTTGCAGGCCATTGGGTCTCTCACAACTACTCAACTTGCCATGTAATGCAGAAATAGCCACAAGCAATACATAAATAAATGGGCATGGCTGTGTCTAATAAAGTTTTATTTATAAAATTAGGTTAAAGCTGGTTATAGTTTGCTGACCTGTGGTCTATATAGTCTCTACAGTCATGTAAAGTCTCCAGCAGTCTATAATTTCAGGCTTTTGCAAGTTCCTTATAACAACTTTCAACTTTGTCTTTTCTTTTTTTTTTTAACTTTTGTCTTTTCATTTTAATAACCTAAAAACAACACACATTGTGATCCAATGGATTCACCATTTATAATATGATGCATATACACAGCTTCTAACATTTGAGTATTTACTATTTGCCAGGCCCATTTCTAAGTGTTTTATATGGATTACTTCATTTCATTCTCACACAATTTACAAAGACGGAGAGAATTCTGTCACAATTTGATGCATCTAAGTAGTGAAGACAGGAATCAAACTCCAGCCAATGTTGACTAAACTACAGCCAAGATCAGCTACACAATTCCAGTAGCCAGTCTGCAGTTTTGTTTGTGATTAATTTAGCACCCGGTAGTACTACTATAATCCTCAAGACAGATTTAATATACATCTGTATAAAACCTAAATGACTCATAGTTAGCTATATTGTTTTGAATAAAAAAAAGAGGTGAAAGACCTGAATGAACACAAGGGACAGGGTAGTACAGCTGCTGAAAGTAAACTGAGCTCAATGAACCAACCTTGCACTGGTTAGTAAAATGTACACCATGAACAATTAAGTAACGTGGCATTTGTGTTTCGGTTAATGTGAATTTGTATTTTCTAGATTTATCTCCGTGGGCATTCTGAATGTATTTAATAAAAACAAAAAATCTAATATATACAGCTTTTTCAAACGTGGTGATTCAAATAACTATTTTAAATAAACTCTGGATGGCCACTGAGATTTGTTTTTTTCCTTTGTAAGGGTACTAATACAACTCAGGGTTTTTTTTGAGAAGGAATCTCGATCTGTCATCCAGGCTAGAGTGCAGTGGCATGATCTTGGCTCACTGCAACGTCTACATCCTGGGTTCAAGTGATTCTCCTGCCTCAGCCTCCTGAGTAGCTGGGATTACAGGCACAAGCTACTATGCTCAGCTAATTTTTGTATTTTTTAGTAGAGACAGGGTTTCACCTTGTTAGCCAAGCTGATCTCGAACTCTTGACCTCAAGTGATCCACCCTCCTCAGCCTGTCAATGCTGTGTTATAGGGGTGAGCCATCACATCTAGCCCCACAACTCAGGATTTAGAATACTGATTTTGATTAAAAGATATATGTATCACATACAAATTAGCATTAAGCCAAACAAAACAAAGGCTCCAAATCTGACTACATTGATAAATCATATGGATCTTTTTTCTATTATCTATATGTTAACAAATTCCTTTTTCCGGCACTTTGGGAGGCCAAGGCAGGTGGATCACCTGAGGTCGGGAGTTCAAAACCAGCCTAACCAACATGGAGAAACCCCATCTATAATAAAAACACAAAATTAGCCGGGCATGGTTGCGCATGCCTATTAATCCCAGCTACTGGGAAGAGAAAGGCTTGAATCTGGGAGATGGAGGTTGCAGTGAGCCGAGATTGTTCCACTGCACTCCAGCCTAGGCAACAAGAGCAAAAGTCCAACTCAAAAATAAAAATAAAAATAAAAAATAAATATATACACACACACACACACATATATAGTTTGAAAGACCTATTATCTCTGAATATAATATTTACACCTTAAAAAATTCACCGGAAGCCACTTTAACATGTATTAAAATCAAGATCCTTTCTCTGTATTACCTGGTTCTAGAGTAACTCACACTTTGAAGACAGAGTTTTCTTATCAAAGGGTGAATGACCAGATCAAAATAATAAAAAAATGAAATTAACTTGATGTATGAATATATTACCTAACTAAAATCAGTTTATTTTGGATATTACAATTTAGTGCTTTACTGTAGCAGAGAAAAATTTACAGTACTAACATTAGAAAAAGGTTAGCACGTCTGATTCAATCCATTGAAATCTGATACGCTTCAATTTCTATTACTAAGAAATTTCATTCTTAGCAATATTAGCAGTTATATATGCAAATATTCTCTAGAATCTTATTAAAACTGTGTCAGCCTTATTTGACTTTTTGCTGCTTCTCTCAAGAGAAAATAAAACATATTTTTAAGCCGGGCATGGTAGCTCATGCCTGTAATCCCAGCACTTTGGGAGGCTGAGGCAGGCGGATCACCTAAAGTCAGGAGTTTGAGACTAGCCTGGCCAACATGGTGAAACCCCATCTCTACTAAAAATACAAAAATTAGTCCAGCATGGTGGTGGGCGCCTGTAATCCCAGCTACTCAGGAGGCTGAGGCAGGAGAATCGCTTGAACCTGGGAGACAGAGGTTGCAGTGAGCCAAGATCACACCATTGCACTCCAGCCTGGGCAAAAAGAGCAAAACTCCATCTCGAAAAACCAAAAGAAAAAAAATCCCATATTTTGTAAAATACAGTAATTAGAAGAATACAATTTATTCCATGATGTCACTCAAATATCAATCAACTACATATTACTTTTAAAAGCTTTAAAAGAAAAAACCTATAAAAACACATAAAAATATACATTTAGTAAGTCCTACTTGGAGTTTAAATCACCTTTTCCCCTTTCAGTTTCAAATAACTAGACTCTTCTTGAAGTTAATCCCAACCAAAACCCATGCTGATAAGCCAGTAAGATTATATATAGTCAGTGAATGTTAAGCTGCTTCACTAACTAATCTCTCAGTTAAAACTGGCATCTGCAAGGCACAGCGTCTCACATCTATAATCTCAGCACTATGGGAGGTCAAGCGGGGAGAAATCACTTGAAACCAGGGGTTCAAGACCAACTTGGCCAACATGGTGAAACCCCATCTCTACTAAAATACAAAAATTAGCCAGGCATGGTGGCATATGCCTGTAATCCCAGCTGCTGAGGAGGCTGAGGCAGGAGAATCTCTTGAACCCAGGAGGTGGAGGCTGTAGTGAGCCAAGATCATACCACTGTATTCCAGCCTGGGTGACAGAGACTCTTGTCTCCTATCGGCCTCTCAGAAACAAAGTGATCCTAAGAGACCATCACATGACCAATAGCTCTTTTATTTCCTTTGCCTTGGCAGTTTACACTGATGCATCAGAAAACCAATGTATTAAAACACTTTATCCTAAAGATAGTTTCTTAAATAAGACTTTCCTATTAAAGGGGAAACCTGGAAATATAGAACTTTTTCACCATGTTGGCCAGGATGGTCTCAATCTCTCTCTCTCTCTCTTTTTTTTTTTGAGACAGAGTTTCACTGTTGTTACCCAGACTGGAGTTCAATGGCACGATCTCGGCTCACAGCAACCTCCGCCTCCTGGGTTCAAGCAATTCTCCTGCCTCAGCTCCTGAATAGCTGAAACTACAGGCACGCACCACCATGTCCAGCTACTTTTTGTATTTTTAGTAGAGACGGGGTTTCACCTTGTTGACCAGGATGGTCTCGATCTCTTGACCTCGTGATCCACCCGCCTCAGCCTCCCAAAGTGCTGGGATTATAGGCATGAGCCACCGCCCCAGCCTATATCCTTGGGTTTCTTATCAGTAGC